TCCCATATAAAAAATTAAATTTTCTGTTGATAATTCTTAAATTATTAATTTTAAAAAAATTATACTTAAACCATTAAATTCTACGTAAAAAGGTGCTTTGGAAATGTTTTCATAAAAATACAAAATTTTCCATAGCAAAAAAGTTACAGCGATTTGTTAAAAATGCATATTTTTGAAAAACACCCCGTAACTCCGAAACGGTAAGATATCGATATGCGGTTTTCACCACCATGTTTTTGACAAAAATTGAGCTCCAGATACCGATATTAGTTTTTGTCTATCTCTTATAGAAAAGGGTGTTTCCATTTAAAAGCGTCGAATTTGACCCACCCTATACATTACTTTAATTTTTGCTAAGTTGGCTGTATTTCGTTCGTTAATTTGTGTTTGTAGTTCTTCAAGACTATTGGCAATTAATACTATATCATCAGCGAATCTTATAGATGGTTAAGATATTCTCCATCTATTTTTAATCCTTTGTTGGTGCAGTCTAGTTGACGAAATATTTTAATTAAACCCACAAGATCGTTATCAAATTCACAAATTAATTTTCTCAGTGTAGGTTCTTAGTATATACGAATTATGTCTGGTGTTTAAATAAAACCGAACAGCGTCAATATGAATTCTGTCTAACCAGTCAATCGTCTAACGAGTATCGGCTGACATTTACAGCAGAACCGCATTTCGAACTGTTCACGTGTCTGGGCTGGGAATTAGGAGCGCGTAAACGAACAGAAGACGTACATAGAAACACGTGAACCATTTCTCTTTGTCTAATCCCTATTTTATTTTTATTTTTTTTTATTCTCTTGCCCACTCAATATTAATCAAAACGAAAAATATTGCAGTGGATCGAGCCAATGTAATTTACTGGACATAGGGCAATATTTTGCGAAACTTCTTGAGCCATTTTTTTGAACAAATATGTCCTAAAAATTCAAGCTTGTTAAAATAAGTCGTAATTTTATTTTATATAACTTATTGAAGAGTGTACACAAGTGACTTAGTAACTTATTGAAGAGTGTACATACACGTACACAATATATTAAGAATACCATGCCACTAAGTGAAATTAGTCAAAAAATAAGAATTGGTATAACGCAGTCATTTTTCGAAAAAAAAACATTATAACTTTAAAAATGATACCAATGATAAACCAAATCATGGAAATAAGGCATAAAGTTTCACAATAAAAAACAACTCTAAAAAACATTGTAAAACAATTTCTCCTGATCTAATAGCTTCAAATTCCTCAAAACCTTGTTAACTTTATAAAATTATTGTTACAAAGAAAATTAAATTAAATTTGGTAAAATAAGAACACATCGCTACTTATCTATAAAGAGATCACCATTTTAATTAAATTTAAGGCCACAAAACTCTGAGACTCTAGGCAAGCTGGTTAGGCTGTAATTTTCCTTGTATTTGATAAAGCTGTTTTAACGGAACTACATTAATTAGTTTTGGACTCGTTTCCTAATTATCGAAAGCTAGGGAAAATCAATTTTCGTATCCCCAAAGCACCTCTAAACTTTCCTCTTATCGGTTCTATGATCTTTGTACGGCTCTTTTTGTGTTTGGAGTTGCTTAAATTGTATATAAACAAGAATAAGGTCGATTCTCACTTGCGCTATACTTGGCTCAACTACTCTACACTGCAAATTGCTGCTGGAGAAAGATTTAAGCTTCATTTTCATGCGTCCGTTATTCGTTAATATGATGCCGACGCGACGATCCAACGGCGTTCTGATTGGACATAGCGTTTTCGCACCACTTTTCATTCGTAAATTTTTTACTCCAGCCTGTCAACGGAAAAAGATCGTACGATAACGGACGTTTTGACACTTTTTTGAAAAATTTAATCCAACCTTAATAAAAATATAAGAGTACAAGGGCTAACAACGTCGGGAGAATTTTAAGACACTTGGTTCTATAATATATTTTTTAACCAAAGTGCGGGCAGTATGGCTGCCGGCAGACTACTGCGGTTCACTACTGCGCATCACTTGGCGCACCATATTTGTACAGGCTATCCCATTTTCGTGTGGTCTATAGGATTTCTCGATTATGAGAGAGATACAATGATGCGATTTTCACATACTTTGCTACTTTTTTTATGAAACTAAATATGCTACACATAGGTTTGTCCTAGCCTCCTTAGTTCCTGAAATACAGAGAGAATTTGTGATGCGAAGTAGTGAACAGATATTGAATACATATATGATGCGGAATAGTGAAGGCAACGTCTATCAACAGCAGGGCATAACAAAATATGTATTAAAGGATCAACTTACTTAAAATTCTCCCTCGAAAATGCTGCTAGCTCTTAGACTATAAGTAAAACAGCGAAATCGTTATGGAAATGAAAATATAAAATGACACCAATCAGAAGCATTTTACGCCAAAGCATAAAAGTACGAAAATATATTATTAAACTGATATAAAGTGTCAAATTCAACGAGCGTAACCATAGTTTATCAATATATAATTACTTACAAGGTATTACTTTTAAATATTTTTATATTATTTGGGACGTTTAAAACTGTTTAAAAAATTATTTGTGGCGTTTGAAAAAAATAGCATGTTTTATTAGGGGGAAAAATGACTTTTTGTGCCTCGCCTGTAATTTCAATATACAGCCCCGCCGCAGAAAATATCATTTTTACTTCTAATAAAACAATATACTATTTTTGAAGTTTTATTTGCATTAAATTACTGAATATACTAAACTAATCGAAAACTGTTAAGGATATTGTTTTTTCGCTTGGAAGAAAATTTTTCAGAAAAAATGTGTTATAACTATTAATACCTACGTCGTTTGTGTTAAAAAAAATACTGTTTGTAAACATAACAAATTGTACCTAAAAAAATAAAAAGCATTATCATCAGATATGTACATTTAATTTTTGTTTAGAATAGAACCTGTTTGCGTGTTGCTAAGCGGCAGTTTGCGATATTGTGCTTAGTCTGTCATCGATAATATGAACAGACTATTTAACAATCGAGGAAGCAAATCAAGCCATTGGGTTGGTTCTTGGCGGTGCGCGACAGATCGATGTGGCTGATCGATTTAAAGTCACGTAAAGTGTAATTTCTAGGCTTAAAACCCGATTTAATGAGACTCAATCTGTCACGGAGAGGCATAGGGAGAGTCGACCAAGGTCCACAAATGCTAGGGAGGAGCTAGGATGTATCCTGCAAGAAACTACACGTTGCTCACCCAGGACCTTTTGGCTGCCAGCAGAGTACCTCTCGGACGGTCTTAAATCGATTTAAAAAAGCAGGTTTACATTGCTATAGGCCTATAAGATGCCCTCCGTTGACCGCGAGAGTCAGGTTGAGGTCATAAAGCTCAACGTTTGCTCTGGTGTAATGAAAGAGCTAACTGGAATGATGAGTGGCATACTGCGATGTTCAGCGATGAAAGCCGCTTTTGTCTCCGCACTGACAGTTCGTGTGTGGAGACAAAGAAATACAAGACTTAACGACCGATATGTTCAAGAAGAGCATCCCTTTGAAGTTAGAGGTGTAATGGTTTGGGGTGAAATTTTCTACGGAGACCGAACGGAATGGTATGTCTGTAAAGGTACAATGACAGGTGAAATGTATGCTGACGACATCATTGGAGGATCACGGAGGGGGTCTTATAGGCCTATCATCATCATCATCATCATGTAGCCATCGTTGTCCACTGCTGAACGTAGACCTCCTCCATATTTCTCCATGTCTCTCGATTTTGGGCCGTCATCATCCAATTTCCAGCAATCCTCTTTACATCATCGGTCCAGCGTGTCGGTGGTCTGCCTCTGCTACGTTTATCTGCTCGAGGTCGCCATTCTAACAATCTTCTAGTCCACCTGTCTTTAGATGTTCTCGCCACATGACCTGCCCATCTTCATTTCATTCGAGTTACGTGTTCCACTATGTCTTTAATTTTGGTTTTTTGTCTGATAGTGTTATTAGGAATTTTGTCTCTTTTAGTTATTCCAAGCATGGCCCTCTCCATGGCTCTCTGGGCTACTCTTAAATTTTCTGCTGACTTTTTCGTTAATGTTAGAGTTTCCGCTCCATATGTAATTACCGGCAAGACGCATTGTTCATAAACTTTCCTCTTCAAGCATATGGGTATATCACTTTTAAAGGTCTCCCACAGTTTGCCAAAAGCAGCCCAACCCAAACCTATTCTGCGCTATAGGCTTATAGTCTATAGTAATGTAAACCTGCTTTTCGATCTGCTAAATGGATTTAAGACCGTCCGAGGGGTAATACGTACCCTGCTGGCAGCCAAAAGGTCCGTGTAGTTTCTTGCAGGATCCATCCTAGCTCCTCTCATTAAGCTTCGGTCCGCCCTATAGCATTTGCCGACCTTGGTCTACCCTCCCTATGCCTCTCCATGACAGATCCAGTCTCATTAAATCGGTTTTTAAGTCTAGAAGTTACACTTTAGGTGACTTTAAATCGATCAGCCACATCGATCTGTCGTGCACTCGCGCACCGCCAAGAAACGACCCAATGGCTTGATTTGCTTCCTCTACTGTTAAATGACGTCTGTTCATATTATCGATGACAGAATAACCACAATATCGCAAACTGCCGCTTAGCAACACGCAAACAGGTTCTATTCTAAACAAAAATTAAATGTACATTTTTGATGATAATGCTTTTTATTCGTTTGAGGACAATTTTTTATGTTTACAAACAGCATTTTTTTAAACATAAACGACATAGGTGTTAATAGCTATAACACATTTTTTCTGAAAAATTTTCTTCCCAGCGAAAACACAATATCCTTAACTTTTTTCGATTCGTTTATATTGAAAGTGCCTCTAGTAAACATTAAAAAAAGCAAGACTTGTAAGGGTTTTGCAACAAGACCAAGACCAAGCGAATCTTCGTTTGAGATCAATAAACAACAAAGAGATCAATAAACAGCAATACTTTTCTAGGCAAGAGTACCGTTCTTAGTAATCAAATTAAATTAATATTTAGCAAAAACTCACCCTTCCTGTAGAATTTATCTGCAAGAATGTAGCTATTCCCGCCCGTACCCTGTTTTTCACTCCGCGCACTGTTCCTTTGGAACTCCGTATCGTCGAGGCAGTAGTACCGTTGATCAGATCCTTGTACCCCGCAAAAGTCTCGTCTTCTATCACCGCTCTACCGTTAACCTGATCCACTTCCTTGCACTCTCCATCTTTCTCGTTCAGATGGAAGTTATAAAACATATCTGAGCTCAGTCCTTCCAGTGCTTTGATCACTTGTTCGTTGTTTGCTTGAATTTGACGTTCTTCGTACGATTTTTCGTCCACAAGATCAGAACCGCAAAATTCTGCAATAACACAATACGTAACGTATATTATTTAATTACCGAAAATTACTAATATAATACAAATACAATGAATACAATTTTATCGCATACTGGAGATGACAGAGAGAGACGGAATGATATAGATTGCAACGGTTTGATTAATTATTGTAGTTACTCACCGTCAGGGTTGGATCTAATTGTAAGTATTTAGTTAATTTATAAAGGTAATAAATTATTTAAGCCTAGTAAATCATCGGAGTCAGTTGTTATATTTTTTCTAAATAAATTAAGTATTTATTGATTGTTGTGTTATTAAAAAGTGATTTATATTAGTGATTCAGTAGATAGTAATATAGGTATTATTTGAAGAATTAATACGCAAAAAGAAAGTCGTTAAAATTTAACAAACGTCTACATTTACATTGATTATCAACCGATTGAATGTTTTTTTTTATAATATATAATTTACTGCTGTCAATAATAATACAACATAATATTAAATTAACATTAGAGAGAAATATTTTAATAAATTAATATCTAATAATATAAAATAAATATTTAATGCATTTTCCCAATCATGTTAACATTGTTTATTTTTCATCAATATTTTATATAATTAAATAGTATTATAAATATAGATGGTTTTGTTATATCTGAACATACCTATATCAGTTTTATCTAATTATTTTTAAATTAATATGATATGGAAACCGTTGAATAATTGTTTTTGTAAATTGATATTTGATATAAAAGATTAGCGTTATGAAATTTATTAAAATTTCAATACCTTTGAGATTGAGTTGAGAGAGAGGAAACTGTTTCACAATGAGTATATATTTGACTTATCTAAGTGATATAACAGTTATATAAAAATAAAATATACACAGGATGACTTAAGCTATCGTTTTCTTTTTGCTACCCGAGCTAATCTGGATAAGAAGTCATCCATATCTTCAGACGTCGATAGCCAATATATGTTTCTCCAAAAAATCCTGTATGGCTATTTCGCCACTGCAAGAAAATCTACAAAATAAAATAGTTATTTTTTGTAAACACTTCTGCGTTAATCCAAATGGAAACTACTTGTCAGAAGTTAGGTTTACAGATATACAAATTTGCTTAACGTTTCGGAAAGTTTATCTCTTTCCGTCGTCGGAAGCAAAAAAAATACAAAGAATAAAGAAAAAAACTATTTAAAATATTTAGATTCAACTATTTGAGAACACTTCAGTTTTTTAAAACAGATACCTCTACAAAAAACCGTTGACGTTCTGTTAAAATGACATTATATCAAGTTAAACTTCAAAATTAACAATTACTACCTGATAACAATTACTTAATAAGATAAAACCAAAAAGCCCCAAACTTTCTGTATGATTAATTTTTTTTACGTATGTTATGTTTATTTATGTTATGTTCTTTAAAATCAAAGAAGTGATTGCCATACATTACTAACATCTACAGATATGCATGGGCAATACATTTATTTTTATTAGATTGTATTAAAAAAGCCACTTTCATTTTTCTTTTAGAGGCTATCGCTTCTTTCATTATAATTTTGGCGTTATTAAAATTAATTCTGTGCCCTGTGTCCCATGAATGCTGACAAGTCTTAGATTTGTGAAAATCTCCCTTTCTTAAATAATCTTTATGTTCTTTAATTCTAACATTTAAGGGTCTAGATGTTTCACCAATGTAAAATTTATCGCATTCACATGGTATTTTATACACTTATTACATTTTTTGTTTGTTGTTCTGTATTCATTGGTTTAGTATGTGATAAAATGGATCTAAGTGTATTTTGTGTTTTGAAAGATGTTCGTATGTTAGATTGTTTTCCTATCCTTCTTATTTTTTCCGAAACGCCTCGTAAGTATGGAATTGTAAGTAAGGCGAAATACCCATATAGGATTTTTGGAGCGATGAATCCGCCACATAGGTATAGACATTTTTTTTCAATGTATGTTATTAGGACGTTTAGGAAATGTTTATTTTTTAATTCTCCATCTATTGAAAAAATAATATACAGGGTGTTCCATTTAAAAAAACGAAGAAAAATTATTTTATATTTTAGAGTTTGAAAGTTTGGCGTAGAATTTTGAACATCCTGTATGATTTACGATTTCCATATTTATAGCAAAGTAAGTATATACCATCTAAAGTAAATATCTAATATAGTTTTGATTTCAGGACAGTTCTTGTATTATTAATATTTTTTTTTAAATGCTGAAAAATATATAATTTTTATTTATTTACTAATATCTCTGAAATTATCGAAATATATTTAACCATGTCTTAGGATTATGTAAAGTGATCTGAAAGGAAGCCAAAAATGCAATAATATACAGTGTATTCCGTTTAAAAAAATCATCCCGATCCACTCACTCTTTTTTGAGACACCCTATAGAAGTTAAAATATTTTCCTGAAATACATCCTTGAACATACTTTAGGTTTGCACTTAAACAAAATTCCCAAGTTTTTTATTCTAGGAGCTACAGATGTCCGACGCATTATTGCCGGACCGTGTATGTGCAGGTATAGCATTTTAGTTAAAATACATAGATCCTACCTTTGAAATTATTTTTATAGTTTTCTAATTAAATTAAATTAACATTTATTAAGCAAGTATCTTTGGCAAGGCTGCTTCAGGAAGTCTGGTAAAAGTTTGATGGATTCATTCGACTTATGTTTAATAGTGCGGTGGTAATAATACCTATATGTATGATTGTAAACAAATAGAGTTTTATGAACAGATTGTTTTGTCTTCTCTTTATTTAGATGTCGTTGATCAAAACCCTTATACCCCCATACTCTGTTATTCCCTGTTAATCTAAAACCGTTAAACACCCTGCTCAAAGCCGCGTGTTATTATCCGAAAAGAAAACTCACCTTTCCTCTGACGAATATCCTGAAGCAGCGTCTGTGGTAGCGTCGAGCCGGAGTTCTTATCCGTCTTGCTCTTCATCCCGTTACGTAGGGGAGCAGCTTTCGACGTAATTGGGGATGCCTTGCCGCAGTTTAGGGAGTCGCAGCTGATGCTGCTGCCGCTGCTCTGGCTCTCGTTGTCGTCGCTGTCTGCCCCGCCGCCCACGTCGTCGGATGTGCCTTTGTTGTGCGAACCTCGAAAAGGAAATAAAGAACAAAATATAACAAAATGTCCATCTAGGTGAAAAGAAGGTAAGTTGGAATATACAAAAGCATTTTGTTGGTTATAAATATGGGATAGAGGGTGAAAAGAAGATTTGAAAAGAACCAATTCTGTGGATATCTCTTATTGAAAAAAAAATATATTCAGGAAGATCTCAAATATATGTCGTGGAATTGGAGGGGGAACATTTGTTCCCCGATATGTATTTAAGGCCTTTATGACGAATATACATATTATACGGCCACTAAAAACTAGTCCCAATTTCAAAGTTGGATATCTCGCGAACCACTCATTAGATTTTGATGCTTTTTTTAAAATTGTTAATTAATTCCTTCTTAACGGATTCTACGTCAGAAATTTTTAATCCGAATTTATTTTGAGCATATACAGGGCACAACAATAAGACGAAGTTTTTTGCCCGAACTTTGTAACACCCTGTTGGGTGCAGCAGCTGTAGTAGCTATTGCTAAATTAAATCACATTGTAGCCTAATCTTTCGTGAGCATTTTGATTTTTTATCACTACATTATCTCTGTTTGTATTGGAGATACGCTGCTTTAGAACGAACGTATCGGTAATCGAATCCTCGAATCTTTAGAACGAACGTATCGTATCAAAAATGCTTCGCAGGCAGAAAGTTTTATGTAGAAATAATCAAGGCGACATAATTGTCAAATTAAAAAATGCCATTATCTTTGGTATATATGGATGTTGCTCGTATTGTGGCTGTAATTGAGGATGGCCGAAATGTCCGATACCCTGGGTATACCACGAAAAACAGTCGAGGATGATTGGAATCGGTATATGGAAACAGAAAATTTGGCCAAGCGAGTGGGTTCCGGAAGAAAACGGAAGACAAATGCAATTGACGACCGCTTTACTGTCCTGAATACTTTAGGAAATCGTAGAATTGCAGCGTTTCAGAATCAACATCTGCTGCAAGCCGTGCGTATAACTCAAGTCAGTGAGAGAACAATCCGACGAAGACTAAAAGAAAACAGCTTGTCTGCAAGGAGGCTTGCCACAGGACGCCAGCTACCTCCAAGACATCGTCACACATCGTCGAGCATGTCTTGATGAACCGCGGTTTTGCCTGCGAAGCATTTTTCCGAGACGTTCGTTTTAAAGCAGCGTATCTCCAATACAAACAGAGATAATGTCGTGATTAAAAAAACAAAATGCTCACAAAAGATGAGGCTACAATATGATTTAATTTAGCAGTAGCTACTACAGCTGCTGCACCCTACAGGGTGTTACAAAGTTCGAGAAAAAAACTTCGTCTTATTGTTGTGCCCTGCATATGCTCAAAATAAATTTGGAATAAAAATTTCTGACGTAGCATCGGTTAAGAAGGAATTAATTAACAATTAAAACAAAATCATCAAAATCTAATGAATGGTTCGCGAGAAATCCAACTTTGAAAGTGGGACAAGTTTTTAGTGGCCGTTTTTTTTGCCGGTGAGTGTATATCGGGTGATTCACGGCGATGGCACGTTAGACGTTTATGGAGAAGCGGTGATAGATTTTTTTTTTAAATTTAGATTTTTACATAAAGACATTTCTAAATTATTTTCAGCATTACAATGTTGCAGCATCAATGCTGTAGCATCTTTGTTATTTTAAATGGAACACCCAGTATATTATACTCCCTCACATACCCAGGTATATTTTTACTCATCCTCAGTATATTTTTACTTTATTCGAAGATACACTCTGATTAGAATAACATATCATATTTTAATTTTTGACATATTCGCTCAAAAATAAATTGTATTTTAAATTTCAATCTTGAGTGCCAAGGCTGTGTTAAAGACAGTAACTTTTAATCAAGGAGTCAAATCGTATTTTTAATCGTATTTTTAATCATATTTCGATTTTTTCAAATGAAACGAGGGTGGCTCATTAGCATATTTGGAAAAAGATTTTTTTTAGGAATAATTTGATACCACACACATGGTATTTCAAGTCAAATTGTCGTTATGAACCGCATGTTATAATTTCAAATAAACTATATGCGAAAATGACAAACGTTGACATATTTCTATCGAATAAAGTTACCAAAATACCAAGGGTGTTATTTAAAAATCAAAAGTTGTAGTCATTTCCGGTGAAACCGGAAGTGACCGAAAACAATTGAATATGTCCAATCAATTCTAATTTATGTTATATACTAACATACCAAATCTTGTTGTTTTATCTGAAAAAATAAAAAAAAGTTATTGGGGTGAGCCACTTTTGAGATGCAGCCGGTATAGCATCTTTTATTAGACTATATCTCGAAAATGTCAAATTTGAAAAATTCTATCACTCCCAATATAAAATTCAACCAATCAGACCATAAATGTAAATTAATATCGCACATCCGGACATCCCTATACTCATTAGCGTAACTAGCAATTTATCCTGGGGGTGCCTGGAGGGGGGTCTAGAGGGGGGCCTAGAGGGTGGCCTGGGGGGGGGTCTTGGGCTTTTGTTTTTTTTAAAATGAAAAATAATTTTAAAAACACATTTTTTAATAAAACGTTTACATAAATAATTTCCCTATCAATAAATTTCATAGACTTGGTTGTCAAACCGTGTTCCCGTAGATTACTTAAATACCTACAAATTTTCTAAAAAAATAAAAATTAACACATTTTTTGAACACAACAAAATAATATTAACTAAAAAAACTAGAAAACGTCATTTTTACTGCATCACAAGCAAATAAAAATTAATACGTAGTCAAGAGTCATAATTCAGGATTTCTCTGGGCAGTGCCCAGCAGTATTTGGGGGGGGGGGCGGCACCCCCGGGCACCCCTGTAGTTACGCCAATGCCTATACTTTAACATGGCTTTAAATCAATCTCAAATCTCATTACTCGTATCCGTGTACTTCAAAACGATAGTGCTCTGTATCAACTTTTACAATAACGGAAGTTACCAACTTTAAAAGCTATCACAAAGCCAGTTATTACGAAATTGAGTTAGGTTTTTGTTTTAAAATTTACTCAACTTTGAACAGCTAGAACAAATTCGAGTATAGTAAATTGTAATTATTTTACGTCGAACATATATGACTTTGAAAATTGCAATTGGACACAGACGCGTAGCAACTCGACTTAAGACTTTTGAGGCTTGTAAAACTCTTGCCAAATCATAGGTTATAGTTTGTGTCAAATGTGAAATATTTGCAAATTGCTTTTGAATTTTGGTTCGTTAAGTTGAGGAAAATAATGAAAAAGCTTGACATATGATATGTCATTCTATTGAGAATGTTTTTTTCTATCGAATAAAGTAAAAAATAATAAATAATATAATAAATAAATACAATAATAAACATACATACTAATAAACATAAAAATAACATAATAAATGACTAAAATAATAAATAACACAACAATAATATTTATTTGACACCTTATACGCAGCTATCTCTACTACCATAAATCAACAGAAGAATTAAGTTAGCATGGAGTACTTATGGAAGAAACTCATGGTACAAAGAATACAAGGTATGATATTGCGCAGGTTGGTCGCTACGTCACAGGTGATAACAGGCGCTATTGGTCAGCACGCTCCGCGCGCCAGTTCAAATCGTCAAGATATTGTTATAAACCTGTTTTTTGTTTATATACGGTCATTGAATTATCGCTAAGCAAGTTACTGTGGAGCAGTGCGTAAGTAGTCGGGCTAGGAAGCGAGAGACCCGTGTTCGAATCTCGGCCGGGACATAACTTTTTATTTATTTTTTTTAATACTGTTGTATTCTATAGTTTATTTTTGTAGTATAAAAAAAAGAACTATTTATTCCGTTATATTTTAATCTCCGTTATTAATATAAATTGATTGTTAGTACAATACCTCATTTAATATAAAATAATATTCTACTTTTTGAAATGTATCGGGCCCTAATTGTACCTAAAAGTAATATATTTTTAGTGATATACCATATTGTAAACTATTTAATATTTCAGTCACTTAAAAAGTTAATTTGCATTGAATAATTGCCTACTATAAAGGAAATTTGAGCTATATAATCGTTGATGGGCATATTCTGGGTATGCAAATACTTCCTTTAAATTTTGGGAGTCGTTCAACCGATTTATTCTCAAAACCAGAAACATCTACATATAAAAAGAAGCACATGTCATTAATTATAATAAACTTCACCCTTGGTATTACTTCCACTAATTATAATAAACTTCACCCTTAGAATTACTTCTATCACAATTACAATACGTTCATCTGCATTGGCATTTTCTACTTTTCGATGTGAAACAATAAACTTCCCAACATTTTTTAAATGATGTAACAATTCCTCTTGTGGTTACTTTTCCATAGATATCCTCAACTCTGTCCTCATGTGAATTCAGAGGCAATGAAAATGAAAATTATTTACCATCACATTTACCATAAACATCGCAAACTAAAAACCTAATAAACAATTTTATACCGAATATAGAAATAAATTTAGTATTCTTACCTATCGTCCAAATCCATGTTAATAGATAATTATTATTTTTAAATATATTTTTGGAACTGCTGGTTTTAGTAATTATTAAATTAAACGAACTAAAAAGTCTTAAAAATAAACAGTTCTGAACCATAACCCCAAAAAATGCAGATCTCCTGTCAACTTTCTTTATTTTATATTTATTCATTATTTTCCTGGTGACGTCACAGGTGGTATGCGCGAACTGAACGAAATTGGAGCCGCTATCGATCATACCTTGTATTCTTTGTACCATGGAAGAAACTCAATCATATTCAACTCTAGCATGCCACTCTATCTAAAGGAGAAAACATTCGACCAATGTGTACTCTCAGTCATGACCTATGCATGCGAAACCTGGACACTTAAAACGGACATCATTTGGGAAAACTGTAGGTCGTACAACGTTAAATGTAACAAAATATGCTGGGAATAACCAAGAGAGACCATAAAAGAGTAGAGTGGATACGACAAAAGAGTCAACAGACCCAGGTTAT